GTTTCTCCCAGCTTTCTAAATGCAAGTTTAGACATTTTCAACGTGGAAAGTGGTTATGGTGGCAAGGGGTATCTTTATTCTTCTCTGGAACTATTGGTTTAATTATATATTAAAATGTACATGTTTTATAAAATTATTACCTATTCATTGCTAAAGCATCAAGGTATTGAAATAATGCTTTGTAGTTAAGCCACAGATTTTTTTTAGTTCAACCAACATTATCACGATGTAGCTTTAAAAAAATTGACTGTCATGTATATTCTAGAGACAGAAAACCTCTCAGCAATCTCGGAGCTATTTGGAGCCAGAGAATAATAAGTGGGTGTGTTCTTTTTGTGTTTTGCCCTTTTTTGAGGGAGGGAATTCTACTGAAGACTTTAAACATCATGTATCCACATTTCTCCAATATTGTTTACTCTATGACGAATTTTCAGAGAAAAAGGAAATGCAGAACACTGACCTGGATGATGCCAGTTTAAAAGGAAGAAAGGAGATTCACTCCCTGGGTGGAAATATGGGTCACACAGGAAGCCAGAGCAGGCTTCCCTGGGGAACCCTGTGGCCCTCTGCCACTGCCCGGCTGACACTCATGAAAACAGACACACATGAAGAGGACACATATGAAGACAGGCATGTCTCCTGCCCACATTCCTTCAAGTTCTCCAACTCATGTTCTTAAAAATCCTCAACTATCCTGTGGTGAACGTCATTCGTTTTCTAGCCCGACCTCACTTTCTCCTGGAGAGCAGCCTTCCCCTGAGGGGGGCTGACAGGGGCTGGTCCCGGCAGTCTGATGCTGGCTGGGCAGCACTTCTGGGAGGCACATTGCCCTGGAAGCCCGGTGCCAGACAACTGCTGCCCCCAGGCCATGGCCAGGGTCCTGCTGCGGGCTCTCTGGAGCACCTGTGCACCCTGCACACTTTCAGGTGGGAGGTTCCCATCAACTCTGTACACCCCCAACCTTCCAATATGTTCCCTGCCTTGTAAGCGAGAGGCATTCTTACAAGACGAGTGGCATCAAGACACTTAATGGCTGTGACCATGGGCACCAACCCATTAGGCCTGGCCGTCTGCTCTGGAAGGTCAGCTCAGAGCAGCCTGTGAAGCTGGACGAGTGCACACAGCTGTCCCCACACAGCTCTCTGGCCGCCTGAGCAGCTTTCCCGTAACCACTCAGCTTGCTGATTTACGTACTATTTTTTTTACAGAAGAGAATTAAAGATTGACACACACCCCAGAAAAGGCCGAAAGTCTCTGCATGTCATGAGCACTGGAAATGCATCACCAGTTTTATTTTCACCAATGACCATGCACAATAACTGATTATCATTTTTTAATTAAGTGGATGAAAAGCCAAGTGAGCCATCAGCTGCTCCCGGCTCCTTACTGGAAGTTCATCATCAGGGCAGAAGCCGCCGATCTGGGAAGACAGGAGAGCACAGGACACCAGGACGTAACCACTCACATGGCTGTGTGGAGGAAAATGGCCATCCACAAATTCGCTTTAACAAAGGGTTACTTCCTTGCAACAAAACAGGACAATATAGCAGCCTAAGACTTTAAAGAATATATTCTATGAGCAGTAAACAAAATGTGTGATTGCAATGCTCCTGACACCAGACCTTGTAGTGACATTTAAGAAAGTGCCCATTTAGTCCTCACACCAAAATCCTTGAGGAGCAATGAATGATGAGGCTTCCTGGCCCCCACTCAAAATGGTGTGAATAAAATGAATCAAAGCTTTCTTCCTTAACAACCTGGCCTCTGGCCTCTTTATGTGGAAAATTCCCTTCGGGTCTTCAATGTATTTCAGGGAGGAACAAAAGCACTCAGCACAAAGTACAGCATGATTTTAAATGCTCGATTCCCAAAACAAGAGTTTGTCCCAACATTTCAGTGGGCACCAGAAACAGGGAGTTTTAACCTAAACTCACATGATACAGAAAACAGCCTGGAGACCAGTATTCAATAAAAATCAATTTTGAGTGCTGTTTTCATCAAATATGTTTGAAAATAGCTTAACAAGAAACATGTAAGAAACAAGGACAATGAAAGATTCTAAATGAGAGCTTAGCATTCAGTTCTCTCCTGAAGATATTCACCACTGAAATCAAGTCCTTGTCACCTAAATCTACCTCCGCACAGAGTCTAAGTGCAATAGCTAATTAGAAAGACTGCTCTTTCACATAACCACCAGCGCTCAACAGCTGAAAACCACATTGTACACACAATCATTCAACGAGATGACGACTGTCTTGGAAAGGCTGAAGAACGTGGTCGAGGCAAAGGAACAAACGTGAAATAAAAAGATGTGACCAGAGGCCTGTTTGTTTTGACTATATTATTATCCGTATCTGTTTAGAACACTAAAACTGTACCTTTTTGTCCTGTACATTCTATGGCCCCTTCTTGCTTTATGCAGGAGCAACACGACTAACTGCTCTACCAACTGGTCGCCCGAGAGACAGTCCTGGGGGGGCCCTGCGTCAGTGAACCCAGTGAACATGAAACTCCCAGCTGGGTGCCTCACCCCCGGATGCTTGCAAGGAGTTTTGGTCCTGTCCTAGTTCTGGCTTCATCTACCATTTATTGGGGAAACAACAGGTGAGAGCTCAGAGGAGTGATGGTGGCCAAGGTTGTGGGCAGGCTGTGAGAAACTGAGGCAAATGTGCACCCAGGTCTGCAGAGAAGCCGGCTCAGCTCAGAAGCAAGGCTGCCAACGTGTGTCACGTCACAGTTCTGTAAACGCAGTGAGTGCCACCACACGCCAGGGGAACAGAGCCAGGAAGGTGCAGCTGACTGAAGGAGGAGTCGGAACCACAGATAAGGGAGTGACCTTGGACACAGGCCTGCACACAGGTACTCTTAAGGTGGACCTTGTCTGTCTGCCTGAGGTCTGGTTTAGACTGGAGCCCTGGGACCAGGCGGGAAGCACTCACGAGCCACATGAGGTACACTCAGTAAATGGCAGCCACTTACTTTGCCTATTGCTGGTACTGGAGTTTCATCTTTCTAAAGAAATATTTTTTAAAAATAATTTTAATGTTAAGATTATATTTAAATTTTTAAAAATTTTAATTGTTGTTCAAGTACAGTTTTCTGCCTTTTACCCCCATCCCAGCCCACCCCCACCAGACCTCCCCACCTCCCTGCCACTTCCACCCCCCATTGTTAATGTCCATGTGTCTTTATACTTGTTCCAGCAAACCCTCCCCCCTTTCCCCTGAAACTGCCTCTCCTCTCCCCTCTAGGCACTGTCAGCCTGTTCTCTGCTTCAGTGTCTTTAGTTATATTTTGCTTGTGTGTTTGTTTTGTTGATTAGATTCCTGTTAAAGGTGAGGTCATGTGGTATTTGTCTTTCACCATCTGGCTTATTTTAAAAAATATTTTTTAAATGTTAAAAACTTTATAGAAAAACAACTTAAAAATCCTTCACTTATCCCCTTCTCCTTCTGCCAATTAACTCTGACATAACTCAGGCTGCTGCATCTTAATGGCACAGAGAGTACATTTTTAGGCAAAGCAAGTAAGTAAATCATTTCATTGTAACACTGAATTTTCTGGATGTGTGAACTGTTCATTCCATGGACTATCGGTGGCAATGGTGCTATGCCACAAAGCTGTGGAGTCCCAGACATTTTTTGGTACAGGGACTGAGGCCTGGAGAGAAGGGACTCGCCCAGGGTCACATGGCCAACCTGGGCAGCGGCAAGGACCCCTGCTCACAAGCTTCCAGAGGTTCCATCTCCTCTGAAGCTACTCAGAGGTTCAAATGAGACACACACTTTAGTAAGTGAAGAACACTGTGGAAGTAAGTCTGCTACCACAACCCTGAAGTGCTCTGTCGTCCAAGGTCAGAGAGATAAGTCAGAAGATTGTTATTAGGGCAACGGGGCCATCTCTTAAAAAATAAATATTAGAGTATGGTCAGTGGTGCCGTGTTTCCTAATCAATTTTCATTACGTTAGAGACTTTTAATATTGGCTCAATCAAAATCAGAAGTTGCTTCTGATACTTTAAACATTTTAGATTTCTTAGCCTGTTAGTCAGATGGTCTGGTTAATTTCACATTACCAAATACCTAAGAGCATCTGGTTTCTCATTTCAGGACACTCTTCTAGTGTGTATTTTTGGGAAGCCAAACCTTCTAATAATCAAGAGCAGAACTCCTGTGCTTCGTGGCCTGAAAGCCCTGTCACCCCTTCTCATAATGGAGCACGTCTGTGTGACAGGAAATAGAACCTAATTAGAGACAGAATCCAAGGACACTGAAAAATAAGTCATGGTACAAGCTACAAACACCTGGATGATGCACCCCCTGCCACTCACATCAGTGTGGATGACTGGGAGTTGAGGGTTGTGCACCTTCCCAGTAGTGCTCATCTTGGGCAGGGCAGGGTCTCACAGGCCCACACCCGTGTGCCCTAGCACTGCTCAGAGGTGGAGGTGCTATTGTGGTGACCTATGACCTCAACCCAGGGTACCCAGCAAGAGCACCCACCACCTGCACTCACACCAGACCAGCAAGCCCCAAATGAGCTGCCAAGTGGCTCCAAAAATCAGAAAACTGGCACTTTTAAAGTGCAGTGTGTGTAAGGTTTCAGAGGGCAGTGAGCGCAGATGACATAGAACCTGCATGTCAAAGGCCACAGGCAACAAAAATTCCCCTTGACCCAGCACTGACTCTATTTCACTCCTCATTAAACAGGGCCTGACGCAAGCAAACAGGGAAGTGGGTCACCTGCAAGCACAGGATGTCCATGTCACCTACCCCTACCCCATTGGGTTTCCACTTGCGCAGGAATTACAGTGAATCGCCAGAGTGAGGGCTGTTTCCCTCTGCAGTGAATCTAGCCTACTATAAAAACCCTTTCAGTGTCTTGAAAAGGTGGGCCCTGTTCTATTCCCTCACTGAGATTTACTGCTCTGATTCCCAGGTCTCCCTTAGTGGCTTAATCGCGGCCGTCCCCGAGCTGTCCGCGTAAATTATGTGGCTGTACCTGCGAATGGCCACAGTGAGTGCCTCTGGAGAGCTGGCACAGGGACAGATGACCTCCTGGCGCAGGCCTTTACTTTGAAAGACATTGAGAAATGCGTCACAGGAAGAAATGGACCCTGGAATGAAAGAAGGGACAAGATTCAGACAGTGGAAGCCATGTATGTCACTGATTAAAAATATCCCACAATAGGAAATGCTTTTGAAGTTAGGATTCGGGCACATGTGCAACAGGGGGCACAGAAAACATACTTCACTTACTGCAATTTATCATTTATGTTACAAGGAAAGATGACTTTTTCAAGCTTAGAGAACTGCGGAATTTAAAAAAACACACAACTTCTCTGCTTAATCAAAGACATTTGCTGACTGATGAACTTTAACAACTTCTCAGAGACTGGTTTTACCATTTTCAATACGGATGTTCTAAAGTGTGGGTAAATGTAACTTCACTCACAGATTTTCAAATCTTTCTGATCTCATGGCACACATAAACTAATTACTAAAAGTCTGCAGCATGCCAAAAATATATTCTTTGCCAATCTGACAAAAAAATAGGTAAAATTTTGATTCCTTCACACCAGATAGCTGTTGTGGTGGTGGCTGTTGTCATTTTTTTATTTACAATCTAAGGAGAAGAGGTCAGTGCCCCTGACTAAATAGTCAGGTAATACATTTTAAAAATTCTTGCGACACTCCAGTTGAAAATCACTGCCTTAACTAAATGGAGAAAATTTTAAATTAACTTGAATGATGAGACCCAGGTATAGTTACTAGGGACCTATCATCTAAAAGATTTCCTAATATAAGTTTACCTTGCTTTGTATAAGACATGCTGCTATATACAGTTATGAGTAAAACCAATTACGTGTTAAAATAGCCCAAAATTTTTGTAGTTATTCTGTAAATGGGAGAATCATTTATAAAACTAGTAGTAATTAATTAACGGTTTGCAAGTCTACTTTGGCATATCAGATGTTAAGAAAGTATACATCACTTTAATTTACAAATATATACAGTGCAGAGTTTACAACATGGTCAGAAACAAACTTTCTTATATTCATTTCACTTTCATTCACTTTGCTTCTGGCTTACATGCTTGTCTCATAAAAAACAAGCTAGCTGGATTTTATTCAATTGACTGAAATATTTCTCAAGGTATATGAGGCCTGTCCAGAAAAAGCCCAGCCATTGTTAATATAACAAGAATGGTTTGCGCAACATCGATGTACCCTGGCAGACAAGGAGAGTGGACTGGAATGCACATGAGTGAATAATGACAACTTTACTGTACTAGTCAGTGGGGGCGGTAGACACCAGTGAGTGAGCATGTGTACTGTGTGGCCATCACATTCAAAATGACTGAGTACAGCAATGCATCTGCATCAATTCTGCATTAAGCTTGAACATTCCTCCACAGAAACTACTTGGATCACTCAAAAGGCTTTGGGGGACGATGCAATGAGTGCAGTGCAAATGAAAGTGTGGCATACATGCTTCAAAGATGGTCAAGAATCTGTTGAAAGTGATCCACATTCTGGAAGGCCTGTAACAAACACAACGTCTGAGAATGTTGAACGTGTATGGGCTGCAATCAACAAAGATTGGCGACTGATGATGCAAGAACTAGGAGTTGATCTGGGGATTCCAAAAACTACTGTGTCTGAGATTTTTGACACAGGGTCTTGGCATGAAACATGCTGTGGCAAAATCTGTTCTGCTACCAGAGCAGAAGGAACATCGTGCAGCAGTTGCTAATGACTTGATTCAAACTACTACCAAAGAATCAGATTTCCTCAAGAAGGTCATAACTGGAGATGAATCATGCGTTTACAGCTGTGGTCTAGAAACAAAGGTCCAGTTGCTCCAATGGAAATCACCTGGTTCTTCACACCCAAAGGAAGTGCAGCAAAGTTGCAGTGAGATCAAGACCATGTTAACTGGTTTTGATTGGGAAGGTGCTGTCTAAAATGAGTATGCCCCTCCAGGCCAAACAATTAATAAGGAGTACCACCTCAGTGTTCTTTGTTGGTTGAGAGATGCAGTATGATGAAAACAGCCACAGCTGTGGACAACTGGTCACTGGCAGCATCCCTGTGACAATGTACCCGCTCAGGCATCAGGTATCGTGCAGTTTTGTGGTGAAACATCAATCACCCAGGTGACTCAGTCCCCCTATAGCCCAGATTTGATGCCCCGCAACTTCTGACTTTTTCCAAAACTAAAACCACCTTTGAAAGGGAAGAGATTTCAGACTGTTGATGAGATTCAGGAAAATATGACAGGGCAGCTAATAGCAATTCCAACAAAGGATTTTGCAGTGTCTTACATGGTGGAAAAGACTCTGGGAGAATTGTGTGAAGACCCAAAGTGCCTACTTTGAAGGAAACTGAGGCATCATTGTCCTATGTACAGTGTTTCTTGTATCTTCAATAAATGTCTCTTTTTCACAGTACATGGCTGGATACTTTCTGGACAGATCTCATATTAACAGTATTTTGTGAAACTACCTACCAATTAACTTTACCTAGATAATTTTTGCTATAGGATTTGATAATGAAATTTCATTAAAAATTACAAATTAATTTCCTGATCAATAAAACTAGTATGGACCATAAAATAATAATAGTTAATATCTCTTGAGAATTTATTACATCCCAAGTAACTATATGTAGGGATTACTTCATTTAATCCTCATTAATTCTTATGATTTAGGTGTCATGTTGAAGTTAAAAAAAGAGAAGAATTAAAAAAAAGTGACATTCTCTACAGAATCAGGAGGTAGAAGAGCCAGAACTTGACCCCAGGGCCATGTCTGGAAGTCCCATGTTCTCCTCTGGCACACCGTGGTGCCTTTAGCCAGTGAGTACTTCGGTTTAGTTATTATTTTGAGACCACTTCTTAACTAAGGTAAAGAGCAGAAAAAGAAAAATTGAAGTGCACAGAATAAACCCGGGCGATGACGACCCTGCTGCCCGCTTGTCCTTTCTTGAGCAGCAAATGTCGCTTACAGGGGTTTGCGCCGTCGGCTACGATCAGCATCCGCAGAGAGGAAAGGTTGATGTCTCTCTGATCCCTGTGTGCTACCAACGCCCAGTGCATGTCCCTGGACTTGACACAGGCCACTTTTGCTGAAGTAGAAGCAGAGGGAAAGGAATTAATGTGTGGACCATCAGACCAGGAGGCATTAAAAGAGGGACTCATGATAGTGGGGCAACGCCCAGGCCACTCCGGGATGCACCTTTGTACTGGCAGACCTTCTGGATCCAGGAGAGCGGGTTCACCTTCATCAGCGAGTACGGGATGCTGATCACGTGCATCATGTTCATGACGCTCTGAAACCAAGGACACACACAGAGGTGAGATGGGAGAGGCCCTTCCCGCCAGCACCAGGCTCCAGGCAGGGGTGCAACAGGACAGACTGGGGGCTCTTCACACTGCTGGGGTGCTCAGTGCCCATGGGCAGCTGATCCCAATGTATGCCAGGATAATCTGGGAAGGGAAGTCTCTATGGTTATCTAGTCCTCTTGGCTCCTGCTTTTCCTGATACAGGTAGAGAATCTAAGTCCAAATACTTTTTAAAAAATATATAAAGCCTTTAATTAAATGATTATCATTTTTTAAGGTCATTTCATAGTGGAAAGTGGTTGTATCACCCTTAGTGACTCCAAAAGGATTCATTTCTTTAAAATGAATGACCAAAACTAACTTCAAAATACCAGATTTACTGGGGGAATCACTTCGTGTATTACATAAATGTCTAACTACTTTACTGTGCTCTTGAACTAACATAAAATAATACTGAATGTCAACTGTAATTGAAAAAAAAAGCAAAAGCAAATTAAAAAAATAAAATAAATGGTTAGTCCCTACATGCTCCAGGTAGGACTCACACACCTGTCTGGATGTCATTTAGTCCAATGCACTCAGGCACTGGCAGTTAAGGGACTACAAAGAAGGAGCGTTGGCCAGAACCCTCCCTGGCCGGCTCTGTCACATCAGGATTCTCTCTGCTACTGTGGGAGGAGGTGGAGGGAGAGGGCATGGATGCTTCAGAAAGCGACAGCCTAATTCTAGAAGCTCTGAAGGAAAATGACCACCTACACCTTCCCAGGTAGAAGTGAGCCTACTGGCCCCTCTCACCTTGGTTGCTCCACACTCCATGCTGGGCATGAGGGCACTTTCCACCACACAGAAGATGCCACAGGACAGTGTGTGTGGCCCTCTAGCCAGACCTGCCCTGCTCTAGACAGCAGTAGCAAGAGACTTAGAAACTGCTGGTTCTTAGGGCAGTAATCCAGAGCAACAGAAAGCAGGAGGAAGCCAGTATTGACAAGATCTACCACAGACCTATCACCATGCTCCTGAAAGCATGATTATCATGAGAAACTGATGGCAACAATGACAGCAGCTGTGTCACATCATCAAGCAGGTGGATGGGCGAGGTGCTCACTTAACATCAGGCCCATGATTCTTACACAGCATCATTATTCCCATTGGACAGATAGGGAACCTGAGATTCAGAGTCACTTGGGCAAGAAATGATTTTTGGGCTCAGGTGACTTGCCTAGAGTCACAAAGCTGTAAGTATGACCACCCTGCGGCCCACAGGCCACATGCAGCCCAGGACGGCTGTGAATGCAGCCCAGCACAAAATTGTAAATTCACTTAAAATATTATGAGATTTTTTGTGATTACATGTCACAATGTATTTAATGTGTGGCCCAAGACAACTCTTCTTCCAGTGTGGTGCAGAGATGCCAAAAGGTTGAACACCCCTGCAAGGAAAGGCTGAGGTCCGAGCCTGGGTTCTCTGACCCTGGGCTCTGTCCATGACACCAGCAAGGCAGTGTCAGTGTGCCGGGTGAGTCAGGCTCATGTGGCTTGTCATCCACTGGTATCCAGACAGGAGAAACGAACTGTACAGATCACAGAAAGAAGCTGCCGATCCAGAGCTTCTTATGTGACACTTAAATGCTCTTGTCCTGATAAATTCTGGTTGAGAAAGAAGCAATGAATTTCACTTTCTGTATTGATGTTCCTATCAATCATGCAAAAGGAACTAGATTTTTCTACTTCAGAAAAGATACAAAGTTTCAGCATAAGAAACTTAAGAAAGAAAATGGGTGATTAAAAATGACCACATATAAAACAGACATGTAAGAGTCTAAGTAGTTATGCTACACATTTTTAAATGCCAAACCTATCTTAAATAATAAGCCATCTCTCTATAAATGTGCCTGGAGCTTTGAACTGTCATCACTTATCAAGTGGCACTGACAATAACGAGCCATGCATTCTCTACCTCTGCACACTGAATTTTCATCAAGGGGAGATCTATAAAGGACTTTCTTCTGTAGTATAATGAAATAGGTTCCCACAGAATCCATAAATACTGACTCATAAAAAGAAAAAAGAGAATGTTGTTGCCAAAACAGATGTAAAGTGACCCAAACACAGACACTTGATAACTAACACTGCTGTGTAATCATCAATGACAAAAGTGGGGAGGAAGATACTGAGCTTCCCATGAGCCTGAGAAAGGCTGCCCTCAGCAGCTGTGACCTCAGTGTGGGTCAGCGGCTCAAGCAAGTGGCTGCAGAGACCCCCTGGGCTGACTGTGCTTTTGGAAGCTCTGTTAGCTGCCAGTTCAAGACTTCTAACAATGATGACTTTTCCTTATAACTGGGAGGAAGGGGCTTACCCTAGCTGCTAAGTATAAAGATCCCAATTCCAATTCTGACACGAGCACATGCAAATGTAAATAAGACACAGCAGGACTGAGCATCCGTCACACTTACTGTTAGGATTCCATGCCAGAGCCCAACGTCTTTCTTGAAATCCAACACATTCACAATTGTTTCAGCTGTACAAATGAGAAGCAAGATTTTTACTTATGACAGACAGACAGGTATAGAACAAAGGGCAAAGAAAATCCAGTGTCACATCAGGGGTAGTGATGGACCTTAGAATGACAACATTTCACTGTATCGTTGTAGAAAGTCTGTAGCCTCCAAAGTGCTGGCCTGCCTGGAAAGCGTTTCGAGACAAAATTCTGACATGCACGTTTACAGCAAGGGCTCTTCACACCCTCACTTAAAGTACCTTATTCCTTCCCTTTGCATACACTTATTTTCCCCTCCCTGCCTTTTTCCTTTTTTAAAGAAGATTCTTTTCACTTCCATCATGTGTTCTCCCAGGAAACCTGGAGGACAGGAGATTTCCAGCACAGGCCCTCTGCTGCTGCACCACAGAAGCCTCGGGGCTGGGGCTGGGATAACAGAGGAGACGGGAGCTTTAGAAAAGTAGAACAGGGGAGTAGTCAAGAGTTGGGGGGGGCGCTTTTTAAAGGTGAGGGTAAGAAAAGGGGGCTAAAAATATATGGTTGGAACAACTGCTATGACGGAACATGGAAGCCAAGCTGGAGAGCCAGCCACTAGCAATGCCAAGAACAATGCTTCTGAACAACGCTTTGGAAGTCACATTTGTCAAGTGGCCTGGGCAGGTGGCCCAGCTGCCTGCACCTCTGCCCAGCGCTGCCCAGCGCTGAGCCCCAGGAGTTTACCCATGCCTCGTCTTCCATGTTTGCTTGTTGTTGAGATGTTTGCCAAAGTCTCAGCACTGTGTGCCTGACCACTTTTCAGGGGATGGGCAGAGGAGGGGCTTTCAAGGGAAAACATGCTCAGAGGAAACAACCTACATTGCGGTTTATACAAATACTTTTTCAACTGGGAAATGGAGAGCATATATTTGTCTTTTGTTCCTCCTCTCCAACTCCCACAAGAATGACAACCTTAGACCTTCACTTAAGACAAGGAAACAGGTCACGAAGTTGTAAGAAATGTTGAAATTTAAACTGGAAACACTGACAAGCAGGGTGGTAATAATTAGAGACAACGTGTCTTGATGTCTGGGAAAGTAGTCCAGGTACCAAAAATCAGCAGAACATCGCATGAGAAAAGTTAATTGTTTTCTAAAAAGGAGAATACCAGAAGGATGGGGGGAGAAAGAAAAAGAATGAGAAAAATAGAGAAAGCAAAGCATTTCAGGCTTCAGTGGAGTGACGGGCGCCACCAGCATTGGCGGATATGGTCCCAACACAGGGACCTCACTGCAGAGGCTCCAGCCAGAGGGATGACTGGTATCCGGCCTGACCCTTCTAAGATCCCAGGTCAGTGCTGTTACCATGGCTTCCTCTGGTCTCCCTTCCTCTTTGCCTCTATGACCATCCAGTTCCAGTGAAAGAAAATGTGTCATGAAAATGGTTCTCAACTGTGTGGCCCACTCCCAGGAGCTTATAGAACCCACTGCCAGAAACTCGAGTTCAGTTGCTAGGAGTGGCCTAAACATGGGCATTTTTTTTAATACCTCAGAGGGATTCTGCTGTGTGGCCAGAGATGAATACACATGGAAGTAATTATCTGTGGTGGCCTGAGTAGGGTCCCCTCAAGTTCAGAGGTTGAAGCCTTAAATCCTGAATGTGACTGAATGTGGAGATGGGACCCCTAAGGGCCAAAAGGTGGACCTGACCCAATAGAACCTGTGTCCTTATGAGAAGAGGCAGAGACACTGTATCTTGCGCTCTCTCCACGCACACAGAAGAAAGGCCAGGTGAGGACATGGAGAGAAGGTGCTGTCTGCACATCAGGAAAAAATGTTCACCCCCAGGAATCACCTTGATGGTGCCCTCACCTCAGACTTCCCACCAAGACTGTGAGAAACAAGTGTCTATTGTTTAAGCCTTCAGGTTGAGGTATTTGTTACAGCAGCCAGAGCTGAGACACTACACAAGCCAAGTTCGCCTGCAGTTGAGTTGGGCTCAAATATCACATGACTCTTATGGCTATTAGTAGGAACAGCACCGACTCTTGACTGGTCAACATACAATTCACAGGCCACCGTCTGGAGTCAGGGCCCCCCAGGGAGGGTCCCAGAAGGTCCCGCCAATACCTTCTGTGTAGCCGCACGCCTGTGTGAGAGCCTGGCAGTGGGTCAGCAGTGCAATCCTTGTCACGGTCACCCCAAGCACACTTCCATCCTTGCACGTCTTATACTGAAATGAGATGACAATGTAGGGACAAGTGGCACCAAGGAACAAAGCAGGAGCCACATCTATCAGCTCTTCTGGTCACATAAGAGGCTCAAAATCCCCTGATTCTGGAGCTGCATAATACCAGCAATGTGGGGACTTGCTCACGGAGCCCCAGACCCAGTGACTTACCTCGATATATGCGGTGTCATTATTTGCGTCTTTAATGTGTGGGAACCAGTCTCGAGGAGGTTTGGAGAGATGTTTTGACTCTGTGACAAACCATAATAACTTTGGCCAACCTTGGAAATAAAGGACAAATTCCTTTTAGGTGAGTGTTTCCCAGAAAAGAGGTGTGAAGAATCGCCTCCCCATTCATGACCATATTTTACACCACTGCATGCTAGAGGGAACCTCTGGTGTTTCCTTTGAGTCAAGGACAACAGCCACGGTGCGAAAGCCATCACCAGTCAAATCACACCACAGGGCAGGCTGATATGCTGCTGGAGACATTTGTGTGTGGAAAAGAATGCACCTTGGCTGATTCAATGTAGTACATTCCTTCGCAGTGAAGGGCCCGCCTCCTGACTAGGCGCTGACCCAGTCATATGCAACACTGTCGTACCTTTGAACTGGGGGATCTCCCCCGTCGGGCTCTTCGGCAGTCCTTTGTGGCAGGCATCACTCGTCAAGGCAACGGTAACTCCACAGCTGCCAAGCAGGAAGCCGATCTGCTGGCTTCCTGCGTCCTGAGAAAGGGTAACAAAGAGAAAAGAGGCACAGAGATGAGATGACAGCGGCACTCCTGACAATACAAGGCCCCATCCTGGGTTCTGGGATGCAAGAAACCTCCCTGATCAACTGTGATTCTGGTACAGGCTGGGCTCTGCAGAACAGCATCAGATCCCAGACTGCCGCTTGCTAGCTGTGTGGCTTTGAATGGGGTAGCTACCTTGCATGGCCTCACTTTTTTCAACAGTACTATGCGGTGAAAGGCAGTCCCCTCACAGGTCTGATGTGAGGGATAAACCAAGCAAGGCAAATTAAGTACTCAATGTGGGGCTGGCACCCAGTGGTCTCAGAAAAACTCAATTCTGTGAACTATTACTGTAGGACATAAGTATTGTGAAGAACAGAAAAGATTCGAGAAAATGACTTCATACCAAATAATTACTGCCTGCCTGATTTTAAATACTCAGAGCAAAGGGCTCTGCTGCATTTGATCCCATCTACAAATACACGGAGACCTAGTCACCACTACCCACCCTGAGCACGTGTTGCCTCATGAAATAAGAACATGTATTAGGCCAGCATGTGTGACACTGGTTCTGGTAACACTGAGCACTGGGAGCCTCCAAATAACCAGCACCAATGTAGGAACATGGTGTCTGCTGTGGGAGGGGCAGCCATGGGAAGAGCCAACCTTGTGAGTTTTGTTGCTTATTGTGTCCAGCTGCCCCGTGGGAAGTCAATTCAATTCTCTTACTTTACTCGCGCTGCCACGCTAGCTGACTCACACTGTGCAGGAGCTGGCACTGCCAGAACCAAAATGTCTTGACTGCAGTGAACCTGTCACCTCAGTTCATCCCCATGGGACTCTGCCTGAACCCCTGGACCCTAGTCTGTTGGTGGACCAGATACCTGGCCATCTGTCACTCTACCTGTTTTTCTACCTTGCTAAGAAAAACATGAGACATCATGGTGTTTTTGCCCAGGTAAAATCAACAGTATTGACATCTTATACCTACAGTCTTTTAAATGAACAGTTTCTATTTTTCCTTTAGTAAATTTAATCCCCCCCTCAGTGAAATCCACATCTTTTTTTTATGTGGGACCGTGCATGGAAAACCTCCAATGCCTTGTGCAGCCCTGAGAGGGGGCAGGTGGACAGCAATGGTCCCATTTTAGGGGTGCTCACAGTATGTTCCCTTCAAGCAATGGTATTTCAAACAGAGTTATAATCAGTCACTTTAATACAGGGTGTCAAACTGATTTTCACCAGGAGTCACATCAGCCTCATGGTTGCCTTCAAAGGACCGAATGTAATTTTAGGACTGTATAAATGTAACTACTCCTTAACAGTTAAGTGAGAGCTCAGCACTGCTGCTGGGTAGAAACAAGGTGCCAGGTTGGCTAAAACAAGGTGGAGGGCTGGATTTGGCCAGCGGGCCTTGTGTTTGCCACCTGTGTTTTAATAAGAATTTGTATACCCCAACACCAAACACCATGACCACAGTAGGAAGGGAAGACAGGTTCTGAGATCAGGTTTGGCAGCAGGAAGGCATCTCTCTGTGCGTGTGAGTTTGCCACACTGTCTACAACAAAGAGGGTCTGGGAGCGAGAGCGCCAGCGGGTACTTGCCAAGACCTGTGAAGGGCTGGTGCCCACGCTGAGGGTGCACACTCTGATCTTGGCACCCCCAGTGGAGGTATGATGTCCTCTGAACCCTGTCTTTCCAACATCTGCTCATGATTTGACTTCTAAAATGATGGAATCACAAGGATAAAAAAGATACCTAAAATACACAGGGGGAGATGAGAGATCACGTGGGAAGGGGAGTAACTGGGAATAGGATGCCACAGTTCAGCATGAAAGTCAAATTTCATGCCCGTTCCTCCTTTGTCTAGAAGGAGCTTCTCATCAACATCATCTGGACAATACCTACTGAGAGCTCCCGTCAAATGTCAACTTAACAAGAACAATTGTGACTGCTGTACCCACACTGGGCTGAGATAAGACCTGGTTCACCTGCTCTCAGGGCAGCTTGTGTGTTTCCTTCACACACCAAGACCCCTGAACAAACACACACTTGAACTCAGAGCCTGGAGCAGAGCTTTGCACATAGAGATGCCCAACATATAATGTCAAAACTGCATTTCTACCTGGACCCTGAGGACAAGGACGGCAAGGAACCTGGACATGTCCTGTGCAACCATCCACCTGGCACTCTCACACCCAGGCCTTGTAAACCTTCCTCTGTCTGGCCCAACATGCCACTGGCCAGGTCAGGAGGCAGCTGCTGCATCTCAGGAAGAATGTGATGACTCCCTCCCGGTGTACACACCTGCTGTTACTTGTTCTCTGTGCCTTTTCCCTGGGAGTGAGGGTGCTCTGGTCTGCAGACAGCCACCTGGCTGGGGTTCTTCCTTGGCAGAACCGTGCTGTCAAGGATGGTCAGCTCCCTCATCACAAGATCTCAGTAACGATTGATTCTTTTTTAGATGCCAAGAAAATCCGGGCCTCCCTTGAGTTTAAACCTTCCTCTTGCTTTCAATCTTCCTCCAATATGTAGAGAGTTGAATAACTACATCACATCCTAGGAAGTCTAGCCTTACCACAGCCTCTCTCACAAGTAACTCCCCCAGCAGCAGGCAAGGCAAGTGGACATGTCACTCGACCACCATCTCCCCCATCCCGCCTCGGTCTCCTCATCGGCAAGCATCAGTCACACCCACAGAAAGGATTCTCTAATAAATAAGAGGTAACTTCATGGCAGGCCTCTCTCTTGAACTCATTTTTGATTTGTGCCCCCACAACAACTAGCTGGTATTTGTTCAGTTGTGTCCCATTCAAGTTGCCAACTAACAGCTGGTTAGCTCTTGTGAGATGAAAAAGACAATAATGAAAGACATGATGGAGAAATGGATGCAGATGCAAAATCCACACAAAACACTGTAGACTCATGAGCTTAAAGATGCTCGTGGTCATGGAACCAGGTGGATCAAAGAAATTGGACATAGACATTTTCCTTATTAAAACCAAGACAGACTTGTCATATATATATATATTAAATTTGCTAATTAACTTTTTATTTATAATGGAAATTTTCAAACACACACACAAGGATATAGAGAAAAGGAGAAAGAAATCCCACAAATCTATTCATCCAGCTGCAACAACTAGCCACCGTTCGGCAAATCTGGTCTCTCCCCAAACACACACACATGCACACGCAGACCCGAGTATTTTAAAATGAATCCCACACCTGGGGCGCACCCTTTCATGCACATATATTTTGGCTGTGAAGGTTGCCCCAGGCTGCCGGTGTCCCCCTCCCCAGTGCCCGGATCCAATGGTCTCCTCGGTACCTCTGATTGCCTGAGGGGGAGATTCTGTGCTTGGTTATAGGATGTTATAAAAATGTGATGAAACGCTGATGTTATCTCTCCCAGAGATATTTCACTTTTACTTGGCACCTGAGAACCTTTGCTAAAGTAAACAAATAGCTGGTGTGTGAGAATTCTAAGGACAGGAAGTGAGTGCTGGCACACCGGCCCTGGTTGGCTGACTCCTGTGGCCCATCGGCCTGCCTTCTCTCTGGCCCTCTCCTACTGAGGATATGGGCATTTGACCCCCATCCTGATGGCCTTGCTACTTTCCCATGAGACTCGGATGCCCGTGTGTCTGGAAGGAGAAGTTCTGGCCCAGCCTAATTTCACCAGCTGACAGACAGTTTCTGCTGACAGCTGGGCTTCACAGACCAGCTCAGCCACCTCAAGAGGGTGCTGGGGACAGACATTTCCATCTGCTGTGACCCCTCAAGGCCTGTCCTGGCACAGTCGTGTGGACACCCTCTCACTCTACCCCATGCCCAGCATTAGAAGAAAACCAACTTTTTCCGCAGTGACATCTTCAAGGGAAAAATGAGCTTCTCCTCTCATCCCCATAATTAGAACAGAGAATAAATAAATGTACATGGAGCTAAATTGTTCAGTCAGTTTCATTAAGCAACATTCAGGACTCAGAAAATTTGGTTCTAATTAGGCCCATTGTTTTTAAATTATCACCCAAGGATATGTTTATTGATTTTAGAGAGAGAGGGAGAGACAAACAGATATAAACATCAATCAGCTGCCTCCTTTAATGCCCTGATCGGGGATAGAACCTGTAACCTAGATATGTGGCCCATTTGGGGATCAAACCTGCAACCTAGATATGTGGCCCATTTGGGGATCAAACCTGCAACCTAGATATGTGGCCCATTTGGGGATCAAACCTGCAACCTAGATATGTGCCCTGATTGGGGATTGAACCTGCAGCCTTTTTGGTGCAATGCCCCACATAACACTCCAACCAACTAAGCAACCTGGCCAGGGATGGCCCATTATTTTAAGACAAGTCCAGTGGAAACAGGACTGGTGGATGGAAGAAATACTCCTACACATCATCACCTATGCTCATGTGCACAACCTGTCCTGTTCTCCACTGTACCCAACCAACGGTTCTTTTATTTAAAATTAAAATTCTCTAAGACAACAAATGTTATGTTCTGCAGTCACAAAGCCTGCATGACAGAGGGGACCAGTCCACAGCTGTAGACTCCATCTCTTTGGACAACATCAGACCATTTGTGTTTGGTGGCCGCCAGTGTCAACCCTGTAGGGGCCTGCTCCCTTTGTCTTTCTCCCTACAGATGCAGTAGCTCTGGAGTACAGAGAGCAAGTCATTTGCATGGATGAAGAGGCATACACCGATGTGCAGGACAGTACAATGTTCCTTCTGATACTGCACTATAGTATCATTATCAGAGCAAGATTGAGTACGTACTCTAATTATAAAGTAAGATCTGACAAATTGTAGGTGGTCCTGGGACTTGATAATGTCCAAACACTTGAATGAAAGCAGTGACTGCCTCTCCCCGAAATTAAAAATCTATCATTTACCCAGCCTCTAGTATAATGATGCAGAGGAAGAAGACACACACACACTTGTTTTATTGACAGATTGCTTGGCTCAACTCTGTTACAATGCATAGATGCTCTGTCTCTGATATGCTCCTACCAAACCATGCAGCTGAACTGAGTGTGTGGTTACTGTGCCCTTTACTGAGACAACAGCTGGAAACCTGAGAGCCTCAGAAACAAGAACCACCTCTCTGAGCCTCTTGATCCACATCCTACTGAGATGAAAAGCCATTTTCAAAACGGCCATCCGCACATTCTGACCTCATGAAAGAAAGTTCCAGTGCAGTTGAACCTGTCATCCACGTTAACAGGCTTTAATGAAACAACACGTTCTTTACCTTTCTTGTGAGTGGTACTTCTATGGGCACAGGAACAACCTCGGCCAGCAGGCAGCCGTAGAAGGCCACCATGGACGCAGCAGGGTCGTTGTTGGGGAACACCAGAGCCACCTGCATGGACACAGGGGGGTGGATTTACCATTAACACGGCTTTTAAAATACCATGAAAGGATGCCAACTGCCACCGACAGTGGGGTTCATGCTCCCAGTAAGAATGAACGCTGGAACAAAAATTAGGTGCCCTACTTAAACACGCTCTTTAGGAAGATACATTTTACCAGGTGTCATATACTTTCCTTTAATTCATGTGAAAGGCAAGCACATTACCAAGCCATCTATAACACTGCAGCGGAATACGACTGTCCTTGCTTTTGGCACCTGTCTTCCACATGGACGCATTATACAGGAAACTACTGTGCGCACTGCTCTGTTTCCCACCAGGCTTCACACACACGTCCTGTGGTCTCCGCAGTCACGACCAGATGTGTGCGCATCCTCACTGGGTGCTGGGCTGGCTGCTGGGCCCGAGCTGGATCCTATTCAGACCCCACTCAGGTTTAGCTCCGGGATCTGGGGTGGGTTTAGCCACACTAAGGCTTTGTTTTCTCTGAGAAATAGGAACCCCGGAACCTCCATCTCAGCTTTGTGGTAAAGGTTCTAAAAGGCCAGGTTACTTTAAATCACCACCCAAATAACCGGATAATGGATAGTATGACTTTGAAGAATGTTTTCTAGGAAGAAACGTGCTTAGGCTACGTTAGTGATGAACAGTTTTTCAGGGAGTGGCTTGTAATATCCATCCTCAGACACACTGCTTTTCAGTTCCCTTGCCTACTTATCTGTTGTGTTTAGACAGTGCCCCTCAAGTCTGAATTTTAAATACACGTGGTAACATATTAAATTTGGTATAAAGACTTCTTGAGATAATAGTTTATTTTTATTGGTGCATTTAATGTTTTCTATAAATTTGTCAAACTTTTCCTTTATCACCTATTATTTTAAAAATATTTCATCTGATTTAAACTCATCTGGAGCTCATTCTAAGTGTCTACATAGTATAGCTATGTGATTGAACACAGCCCATCCTAGTCTCTTGTTTTAGAACGCCTGCTTTAGGACATAAAGTTGTAACAGACAAAGTCCTGTTTCTGGACTGTCCACTATGCTTTCCCAGACTCTGCCTTATTTTAACACGAGTTTCTCTCATGTGCTGCTGTGGCATTGGTGATATTCTTTTTTATAAGTTTGGTGTGTTTACAAAGCATATTAAACCCATGCATTAGCACATAGTCATCATGTTTTGCTCTAGCACACTCCAGAATTTAAACAACTTTTTCTTTTTTTTTTTAAGGTACAATTTGTACTTTGTTTCCCAAGATTTTATTTACTTAGAGGGGAAGGAAGAGAGAGAGGGACAGAAACATCATTGTGTGGTTGTATCTCACACACCCCCTACTGGGGACCTGGCCTACAACCTAGGCATGTGCCCTGACTGGGAATTGAACAGGTGACCCTTTGGTACACAAGCTGGTGCTCAATCCACTGAGCCACACCAGCCAGGGCTAAATAACTTAAAAAAAAATCCCAACTAGAAGTAAACAGTTTTGTCATGAACGGCTGGATAAAACACTCTTTCACTATCTAAAGAAAGAGGGTTGCAAAAACGGTTTCAGATGTACCTGGGGATGAAGCAAGCTCCATCTTAAATTTGGCCGTGTTGGCAATTTAGTAACACAGGATGGCTGGTGAAAATAAAATTAATCTTGGGAACATTCCACTTCTCCATGAAATGTCTAAGTTTACTAAAATCATCTAAAGGAGAGACAAACAAAACTGAAGGGCCAATAAAAGCCATTTTGCACTGCTGATGAACTTTATTTGAGAAACTCTGTGGAATAGTTGTTAAATATTAATTCTTATTTTGTCTCAACAGCACCCAGACACATGGCAGGCTATCATCAGTAGGACTTTCAAGGAGGAATAAAAGGGCTTATTTGTATGTTTTTGCATATGAACCACAACCAATTATTTAAAGAAACTATCTGAGGTGTGTGCATTAGCCTCCGATGTCCTGCTTTCAATTGGTGAGCTGAGAGTTGACAGAACCTGTCTCTAGATCTGGACCTGGCAAAGCAACAATATTCAATTACATGTTTGCAAATCTTCCAGGGCACCACTGCCACATAGCTTCTTTCCCTGCAGTAGACCAAAACGTGTTAAGAAGCCAGCCAAAGTGTAATAGAAAAAACAGAAGATGTTGAAGTTCCATCTGAAACTGATGGTCTCACCCATTCATAAGGGACCAGTTAAATACTGACTTGTCCTTCCTAACATGTACCTATTCTGCAGGTGGGAGTCGTCATCATGAAGACAGAAGAGAGAGAAAGCAGGTGACATCCCAGAGCCAGACAGTGCATCAGCCTATTTCCGAGATGTGAGTCTGGTTGCCAGCTCTGCTCGCAGGAAGATCAACTTGATCCAGGATTTAATATCCCCCTGCTAATGCCATGTTATATAACCCTACAGAGTTGTGAGATAGGACGAAATGTTACGTTAATGTAAAATGAATAAAAACAGAATATAAAACTGCATTATAAGCTCTCAACCACATAAAAGCAATGGATAGAAAGGGGTCAAATTCCTAAAGGCTCTTTTAAAATAAAAAATTATCTTTTTTTCCCAATTTGTTTTAAGGAAAGGGCAATCTCTGTTCTCATCATTCTCATTAAGTTTTCCTTTAATATCTGACCAGTCAAAAGTCCTGTCTTGTGGTCACTCCACAGAGATTCCAAATGACTTCATAAACTCACACGGTTTCCCTTCATTTGGTCCTCTACATATTCCTTCGAGATTTACTTGCACCTGATTATCCACAGAGCAGAACAGGTATAAACAAATCAAGAGGTGGAAGCCCATCCTAGTATTTGCTAAGGTTTATCTTGTTGATTCCATTTACTGCCCACACACAGCCCTACTGTGTGCGTGCCTGGTTTGTTGTCTTCAGCATGCCGCATTCCGCCCCGCCTTCACATGCTCTTTCCTTGGAGCTCACCAAGAACGCACGGCCCTTTTCACCGCAAGAAAACTTCTCAGCTCACAGATGCTCCCAAAATGAAAGAGATTGATCTCTGTTTCCCCAAAAGTTCAGCTGTATCACTTACCATCTCTTTTGGGGATCTATATTCCTTTCCAATTTATAGAAAAACTAATTATCAATGGGTCTATTTTTTAGGAAAAATACTGCAGACTCCCTTAAGGCAGGCTTCACATGTGGGGTGTCTTGTGCCTTCCACAGCTCCTCAAACCTATTCAGTTTAGGCACTTCGACGCCTTTTTCAAAGTCCAAGGAGTATTCCCCACACTGCATTCATAAAGTCGCCTATATGCAAAGTGCCTATAATTTTTATGGTAAGGACTGAAGACATTATTATAGAAGTTATGTTTCACTCAAAAATGACTTTCAAAGAATTCTGTTTATGGTGACAGAAGGTTATTACTGACTGAACGCTACAGTCACATATGCTTTTTAATGAGCACTTATTTACACATGCCAGATATGGCCACATCAAATTGTTGCAAGTAGATTTATTAAGTGCGACACAGAAAGAAAAAGTAACAGAGGCCCTAAGACTAAAGTACTTACTACATTCAACATTAAGTAATCATGTCGTCTTAGGATTTAGGGAGCTGCTAGGGAAACAGATGGAGTAAGAATCTTTAAAAAGATTATAGTCCAGATATTTAAAATTTTTCTTTCTTATACAACTCAAACCAGTCACTGACAACAAAAAAAATTCCTTTACATATTTTACTCTAGTAAGCTGTGTCCCTGTATTCCTACGAAGAGAGATTTAAAAAAACCCCTGTAATTTATTTATAAAAAATTATGTATTTATTTTTACATGTTTAAACTTTAGTCACCTTCAAAGTACTCTCCATTGGATGCAATATACCTATCAAGACATTTTTTCCACTATTCAAAACAGTTTCAGAACTTGTTGATTTTGATGCCCTGTAGTGCTTCTGCTGTTTTTTGTTTCACCTCTTCCACCTTGGCAAAACAGTTCCCTTTGAGGACCCTTTTTCATCCAGGGAAATAAACAACAATGAAAAAGTCACTTGGGGTGAGAATGGGTGAAGAGGGAAGCGTGTGGCATGGGGGTCATGCTGTTTTGGGCCAAAAGCACGGTGTGGGCAGGTGTGCTTGTAAATCACCCATTGTGAAATGGGCAGAGGCATTGAAAGAGTCTTCAAAAAACGTTACTGAAGCCAAATGCAGCCTTTCGCAACACCAGCTGTTGCACTGATACAGATGGGTTCCTAGAACACTCACCTAGTGGGGGAAGCCTGTACTACAAGTGGCCCACCTTCCAGAAGGTAATTCTGCATTTTTTGGGTCCCCTCCTTGTATAAACATCTTAGCTAACCATATGTGGTTTGTTCTGTAATTATAATGGAACTTCAAGAATCTGCAGGCAATACCATAAGAGAATTTTTTTAAAAATACTAAGATTATTACCCAAACTATAGATAAGGGAGATATACTACAACTGAGTATTTTATTGTGGTAAAATACATATAACAAAGTTCATCTCAACTATTTTCAAGTATACAGTTCAGCAGATTTACATCAAATACATTCACACTGCTGTGCAACCATCACCACTGTCCATCTTGAGAACTGTTCCATCTGCGCTGTCTCCATTAAACCCTAACTCCCCATGCTCCTCTCCCAGCCCCTTGTCACCATCATCCCCTTGTCTCTGTGAATTTAACTACTCTAAATACCTTGCACATGTGCAACCATATAATAAGTGTCCTTTTGTGACTGGCTTATTCCACTTAATATAATGTCCTCAAAGTTTACCCACGTTGTAGCATATGTCCGAATTTCCTTCCTTTTTAACATGCCATTGTATGAACACTCCACAGTTTCCTATCCATCCATCCATCTATAGACACTTGGGGTGCTTTCACCTTTTGGTTTTTCTGAATAATACTGCTATGAACATCAGTGTAGAAATATTCACCCAAGTCCTTGCTTTTAACTCTTTTGAAATTGGAGAGTAGTTGGATCATGTTGTCATTGTGCTTCGTCTTTAAGAAACCGCCGTGTCGTTCTCCACAGCAGCTACATGACTGTGTGCTTCTACTGAGATGCACAAGTGCTCCAGTTTCTCCACATTCTTGCCAACACTTAATTATTTTCTATTTTTGATAGTAGCCATTCTAATAGGTATGGGGTGGTATCTCATTGTGGTTCTGATGTGCATTTCCCCAATAATTGGTGATGCTGAGCATCTTTTCATGTGCTCATTGGCCACTTTTAAATCTTCTCTAGAGAAATGTCTATTCGACTCCTCTGCCCATTATTTTTAAACTTCTATTTTTTTTTTGGTTATTATTGTTGCTGAGCTGCAGGAGTTTTTTATATTTTCTGGATATTGACCAACTATCAGATACATGACTTGCATTTTTCTCCCTATTTTTACATTGCCTTTTCACTCTCAAAAGTGTTCAATTTGTCAATTTTTTTGTTGCTGGGGCTTTTAATGTCATATCCAAGAAATTATTGCCAAATCCAATGTCATGAAGCTTTTACCCTATGTGTTACTATACTAGTTTTATAGTTTTAGCTTTTATATTTTGGTATTGGATATATTTTGAATTTATTTTTATATATGTTATAAGGGTTCAACTTTGTTCTTTTGATTTTGGACAGCCAGTTTTCCCAGCACTACTTGTTGAACAAACTATCTTTTCCCCAATTAACGTCTTAGCATAGTTGATGAAAATCATTTGACCACACATGAGCGAGTATGTGAGGATTTAGTCCTGGGCTCTCTATTTCATTGGTCTATGTCTGTCTTTATGTCAGTACCACACTATTGTGATTACTACACCTTTGTAATAAGTTTTATTGTGAGTAAGGGTGGGGCCTCCAACTGACCAGCTAAAGACCAAATCTGCTCAATAAAAAATTGGAAAGAATCATGGTTTACCACAAGATCTTAGGTTGGCAGCAATCTTTAAAAAATTTGACTGTAATGGGCTTATGTCTTTATAATATCTCTTTAGTAAATCATAGCTTGTTTTCTTGTTGGGTTATGGTGCTCCACACTGATATTTTTATAAAATTCATGGGGAGTCCTTTGGGTGCTAATAGGATAATCCAGTCTCGTGGCATCTGAGGTACATGGTGGCACATGGAAACAAAGTCAAGAAAGCTAGGTCTAACCCAGCCCCACACCTAAACCTGGCTGTGGAGTGTGGACATGATTATTACCTGCTGAGAGGGTAACATGAAAATGGAGGTACTAATACCTGCCTTCTGTAACTTATCAGATTGCAGTAAGAATAAAAATTTTCTTTTCAGTGAAAGACAATAGTGTCTATCAAGAAATTTAACACTGAAAAAGAGATGGTACCAGAGGTTTGCTGCCAAGGTTGTCACTGACTAATGTAAAAAAAGTTTTAAATATATTGTCCTGCATGCTCAGGTAGACAACACAGTTATTTTTCAACCAAGGAGACAATGTATGACACAGGCTTTAGAGTCAGACAGAAATGGATATGAATGCCAGCCTATGCCACTTAGTAGTTTTGTGCCTGCATCTGATTTTCATACTTATCCTCTCAAGTCTGGTGTCCTCGTGGATAAAGCATGACACGTACTCTAGTCAGACCCACTGAGTTGCTGTGAAGATGAAATTGCTCATTATGTAATTGCTCCAGGTTCATAGTAAATGTTAGGAAAGCATTATTTATCACTGTTAATTTTAGGAGACGCTGGACTCTGGAACTTTGTAACAGTGGATACCTTTCCACATAAGACAATGCATTTTGCGGATGTAACAAATTGCACTTACCCTATCTCCAGGTCGCACCATCGGTTCTTGCTTTGTACCTAATTTATGCAGAATGTTGTAAGCAACCTTCATACTTCTTGTCCACAGTTTGCCTATCAACACAAATTGTAAAGACACAAGTAATTGGACACATGTCTTTTCAGTTGTGTATACATGTGCAGCACATTAAACTATATATACAGCAGGTATTGCTTTTTCATTTTAAGCCTTCAAGTAAGTTATCCTGAGTCCCTGAAATCAAGATGGGAAATAAAAGCCAGCAACTCTGACTCACAAAAGATGAGAAGCCTGAACACTGGAATACAGTGCTAATGCAAATACCCTTAGGGGGCAAAGTGCCAACAGCAAAGCCACAGAGAATTTTAATTATTACAGAAGTTGTGGGGGAAGACTTCTAGGGAGCAAAGCAGGGCAAAAACCATGGCAATAGTGTGTTATTGCTAATTTATGTTGTGCAAGATAACACCCATTTCCTCTGTTAAACAGCCCTGACTTGTGTGACTGTAATGAATGTAAAGGGCTCGTAACACTGGCTTTAAAGAACCTGACCCCATCCCTCTGTGGTGCTGTACTTCTCAACTTCAAATTTTTCTACCTCAGAGTTGCAGGAAAGGAATCCTTGAACATGAAGACAATGACAAATATTTTGAATTATTTTAAAATTTCAAACTCTAGAAAAAATGACAAAGCAGGATTTAAAAAAAAACCATTATAAAAGAATGACCAGCTTTTTAGAATTTGCAAATTTCAAATCCCTTCGCCCCAGTGCCAGGGTTTCCTCAGCACCATCTGGGCAACAGTAAATAATGTGAGCTGTTATAAATATGACTTCAAAATCTAAGGTGAGGTCTTGGACACATTAAGGTCTTTTACAACTTTAGAATCTATGAGTTTTTAGAAGTAGTCAAAATGTTAGAAGTTCTATTGATTCATATACTATAGTAAAGTTAAGGGCAGTTTCAACTGTTTTCTGCAAGTGCAATTGCTGTTTTAATCTTTTTTCCTATTTTATATGTAAAAGCTAAATTTAAAAGATTTTTGTTTATAATATATATTTTGAATAAAAAAATCTGCCATTTTTTTCATATTGGGTTTTGCAACAACTCAATTAGTGTTACTAATCTGTTTACCTGTCACAGGATTTATTTGCCTTAATGAGACAAAGAGAATGTTTTCATTATCTTTGATTCCTCTAATTCCTAGGACATTCCTGGTTCATAGTATGTGCTCAAAAAATGTTTGTTTTATTAATGTCATAAGCAAGTTATAAAAACACAAAATTATAGCATACATTGTAACATGCTTCTGGAAAACTTGGAGTAATTACTAGGTACGAAGTTTTATTCATGCCCCCTCCTTCACTCTCTCTAAATCCTTCTCCTCAATACTGGCTACTTTACAATTATTTGGTATTTTTTTTTTGGTGATTATATTTTTTCTCAAATATATAAGTACTAGCCATTAGAAATCACTCAGGGGATAATTTTTTTCTTAAAGAAACACAATCATTTTGTGACTTCAGATCACAAAAAAAGTTGATATTATCATAAACTTATTTAAAGCAGATGATAACAAAGTAGAGAGTCTGAAAGAGCAATGTATTTCTGGCAAATACTAGACATGTGCTTGGTGTTTTTCAAAGGGAAAAAGAAAGAAAAAGTTGCTGACTTAAGTTAAAGAAGGAAACAGTTTTTGTTTGGTTTATAAAGAAGAAAGAAAAACAAACTTCCAAACAAGAATACTCTGCCCAGTAAACTCATCATTAAGAATTGAAGGACTCATAAAGAGTTTACCAGACAAGCAAAAGGTAAAAGAGTTCATCACCAGTAAATCAGGCTTGCAAAAATAGGTTAAAGGGACTTCTTTAAGCTAAAAAAAAAAAGGGGGGGGAGGGACACTAATTAGTAACATCAACACATATGAAAGTATAAATCTCACTGATATAGGTAAATATATAGTCAAGGTTGTAGATTAATCACTTATAGAGATAGTGTGAAGGTTAAAAGACAAAAGTAGTAAAAATAACTGTTATAATAATTAGTTAAGGGATACACAAGAAGAGAAGATGTAAAATGTAACATCAAAATTATAAAATATGGTGGGGGGAGTAAAAATGTAGAGCTTTAGAATGCAATCAAACTTATTATCAACGTAAAACAGCCTAAGTTTAAAATAGATTATCATACATATAAGGTGTTATATGAAAGCCTTATGGTTACCGCCAAGCAAAATCTATAGGAGATAAAAGATAGTGAGCCATGAATGTAACATACCAATAAAGAAAATCACCAAATCACAGAGGAAGAGAACAAGAGTAAAAGACAGGAACAGGGAAACTACAAAACAGCCAGAAAACAATGAACAAAGTGACAATAAGTGCATACCTACCAATAATTACTTAAAATGAAATGGACTAAATTCTCCAATCAAAAGACAGAATGGCTGAATGAACAGAAACAAACAAGGCCAATCTATTGTACATGTTGCCTACAAGAGACTTACTTTAGAGGTAAGGACATACATGAGTGAAAGTAAATGGACAGAAAATCATATTTCATGCAAATGGAATCCCAAGTAAAGTTAGGATACCAATACCTGTATCAGACAAAACTGACTGTAAAACAACGACTGCAATAAGACTCAAAGAGATGGTACATGATGATAAAAGTGTCAATTCAACAGGAGGAAATATCTATGCACCCAACATAATAGGAACACATAAATGTATAAAGCAAATATTAACAGACCTAAAGGGAGAAATACTCAGCAATGTAATAATATTAGGAAGCTTTAATACTCCATTTACATCAATGAATAGATCATCCAGACATGTTAAGGAAACATCAACCTTAAATGACACATTAGACCGGATGAACTTAAGATATATACAGAACATTCCATCCAAAAGCCAATAACACACACACACACATTCTCAAGTGGACAGGAAACATTCTCCAGGGTAGAGCACATCTTAGGCCACAAAACAAATCTTAACAAATTTAACAAGACTGAAATCACATCAAGCACCTTTTGTGACCACAATGGTATGAAACTAGAAATCAATCACAGAGAACTAGAAAAGTCACAAGTATGTTGAGATTAAACAACATGCTGCTGAATAACCAACAAGTCAAAAAAAATAATAAATAAAAAATACCTTAAGACTAATGAAAATGGAAACACAACATGCCAAAACTTATGGGATCCAGCAAAAGCAGTGCTAAGAGGGAAGTTAAATAGCAATAAATGTCTATTCTCAAGAAACTAGAAAAATCTCCACTAAACAACCTAACTTTATACCTCAGACAACAAGAAAAAGAACAAATGAAGGCCAAGATTAGTAGAGGGAAGGAAATAAAAAAGATTAGAGTAGAAATAAATGATATACAGACTCCAAAGACAATAGAATATATCAATGAAACCAAGATCCAGTTTACAAAAATATAGACACAATTGACAAACCTTTAGCTACACTCACCAAGAAAAACAGAGAGAGGATTCAAATGAATAAGACCAGGAATGAAAGAGGAGACATTACAACTGATTCCACAGAAATAAAAAGGATCATAAGAGACTACTATGAACAATGTTAAATCAACTAATTAGAAAACCTATAAGAAATTTATCCAAATTCCTAGATACATACAACCTTCCAAGACTAAATCATGAAGAAATACAATACCTAAACAGACCAATTACTAGTAAGGAGAATGAATCAGTAATAAAAAATCTACCAAAGAAAAAAAAAGTTTAGGACCAAACAGCTTCACTGATGAATCTACCAAATATTCAAAGGCAAATTAGTCACAAGCCTTCTCACACTCTTCAAAGAAAACAGAAGATGAGGAAACACTTCCAAACTTATTTTATGAGGCTAGCATTACCCTGACTAAAATCAGACAAGGATGCCACAAGAAAAGAAAATTGTAGGACAATGTCCCTGATAACATAGATGCAAAAATCTTCAACAAAATATTAGTAAATCCAATTCAACAATACATTAAAAGGATAATACACCATAAGCAAGCAGCATTTATACCACAAATGCAAAGATGGTTCAACATCCACAAATTAATCAATGTGCTACAGCATGTTAACAAAATGACTGATAAAAATATCACATGGGGACTTCCGGTCAAGATGGAGACATAGGTAGACACACTGTGCCTCCTCGCACAACCAAAATAAAGACAACAATTTAGAAACAAAATAACAACCAGAACTGACAGAAAATTGAACTGAATGGAAGTCCAACAACCAAGGAGTTAAAATAGACACATTCATCCAGACCAGTAGGCAGGGTGAAGTTGGGCGGGCAGGCAGAGAGGGGTTGCGGCACAAAAAGCGGTGGCACATGGCACTCAAGGCACCCCAGGTATGCAAGACAGCAGCAGGCGGACCCTAGGTGTGCAGGCAGCAACTGGCAGACCCTGGGTGCTGGGTGGCAATGAGCAGACCCATCGAGGCAGCAACTGTGAAGCGAGACACTGTGTGCAAGGCGGGTGGCTGACCTGGCCATCCCACATTTGCGCGCAGATAAACCAGGCAAAACTGGGGAGCAAGACAGACTGAGCAGCCCAGGGTCCCAGTGCCGGGATATAAAGCCTCAAAACACCGATTGAAAATACCTGTGGGGGTTGGGGTGGAGGGAGATACTTCCAGCCTCACAGGAGATTTCACTGGACAGACCCAGAGGGTCCTAGAATGTACACAAGCCCACCCCCATGGAAATTAGCACCAGAAAGACCCAGTTTGCTTGGGGGAAGTGATAGAAGGGACTGAAATCTGATAGAGAGCAGAGCAAGTGTCACTGTTCCCTCTTGGACCCCTCCCCACATACTAAGTCACAACCCAGCCACATGGGTTGCCCCGCCCTGGTGAACACCTAAGACCCCACCCCTCATACGTAACAGGTGTGACAAAACAAAGCAAAACAAAAAATGGCTCAAATGGAAAAACAGAGCAAAGCTCCACAGCAAATACAACTAAGCCACCAAGAGATAGCCAACATATCAGATGCACAGTTCAAAGCATTGGTGATCAAGATGCTCACACAATTGGTTGAATTTGGTTGCAAATTAGATGAAAAATG